TTTCGTATTATTTTTAAAAAAACTATTACAGACTCCCCCTTTTTAATATATGAATGAAAAAATGGGAACAWCAAATTGTACACAATAATTTGAACCAAATTTTTCCAAAATAGTGACTTTGCTCGCTCATTGGAAGTTAATCATATCCGGTTATAGGAATTAGTTTTGTATGAAAACATGAATGCAAACACGGTGTTCATGAAATTTGTCCGGTTATGGGAGGTTTCGGGCTATAAGGACTGTCCGCAATGGGCAATTTCACTGTATCATTGTAAAAGTACACTAAATAATATCGAAATTAAATGTAAATTTTTTTCTTAACTATAGCTCCATCTGACTTAWACAATCCAATGCCATTAAATTAAGCAGATAATAGCAATAAAACATCTGGAGAAACTCGCGGGGCTTCAGACATGCGTTGAAGAGCTTTTGGAAATTCACATATAAACATTAAATGATATCAACATTAATAATATAAGTCGATGTTACAAAATCAAATAAAAAGGGAAATCAGCACCATTACATATGTAAAATATTCACTTTTATATACTTGTATAGTAGACATATGCTTATCTATTTACATATATATTATACATTTTTATTATAATAAGAGGATGTGRTGAAAATCATACTATATTCCTTTCATAATTTACGAAATAAAAAAAATGCGTATAATCTTGGTCCTTTGATTCCCACATAATAGGAAATGTGCCCTTTTTTATGAGTACTATTCCGTTTCTGAAAATTTAAATTCCGCAGACATTTTTGAAATTTGCTATTTCTTTTATTTCAGTAATACTTACACATAGCGGGTGTTTTTTTAAACATGGGGTTTTCAATGAGGCAATATTTCTTTAAGAGTCGGTCTTCAGTTTAATTTGCCTCCGAAACGCCGTACAGTCTGCACAGAAGACGCTATTGTTGCTGTGGAACAGATCATCAAAGAAAACCTGAATGAGTCCGTCCACCATACCGCTTAAAAATTGGAGCTAAGCCTATCCARTTTATGGAAGATTTTGGGTAAGGGCCTTGGTTTGCAGGCTTACAAAATCCAACTCAAATGACTCTCGCATGCTTGAATGGACCGAAAGCCGATTTCACCAAAAAATTCTTTTTAACGGTGAAGCTCATTTTTGGTTGAATACATACGTTAATAAACAAAATTGTTGCATTTTACATTATAATAGTAGACAAGTTATTGTTAAGACCTCGTTCCGTCCTTAAAAGGTCACTATTTAGTGTGCTCTATGAATGAATCATTGATCCATATTTCATAAAAACTGAATCGCTGTTTACGTTATTGACAATGAGGAACGCTATATGATTAATTAATTTTCGTKTCTCAATTGGAGGAGGTTGGTTTAGATGACCTTTGATTTCAAGAAGACGGCATTACGTGCCTTACCGCCAACGAAACAATCAATTTTTTTAAGGAAGCTYTTGGTGAGCTCATAACACGAGGTTGTGTGGCCACCAAGATCATGAGATTTAATAGGAATATTAAATATATTATAGGAATATTATATATACACATATACTTGTGGGGTTATTTGTATTTGCTTGTCTATGTAGATAGTTCCSAGACATATTCGACGCGTTATTGCTGACATAACCCATACAGTTTCAAAAAGCGGTCTATGGGAGCTAGTCACCGCAGTCATTTGTCCAAAACTATTAAAAAACAGAATAATGACAAACTCTTATAATGAAGTTCTGGCCATAAAATCAAATATTATGCGTCTAATTTTTTCTTGAAAATTAAATTTGTATGGAATATTTCTTTCTCTATTTGCATATTGTTTTTGAACATATATACATAATTATTAACTTTAAGCGACCGCTCCGGGTATTACTTAATTAAGTGGCGCTAAAAGCAAAGTTCCTCAAAGAATGATACACTAATTCAAAACATCTTGACAACACGGTGGTTCGGATACTCAAACACATTTGTCTGCTCAAAAATTAAAAAAAATTTGTTTTCGCTACACTAGGAAATGAAATATACTTAGTTCATACATGAAAATTAACAGTTAATCTATAAAAATGCTATTTCGCATATTGCATAACATTCAGATTTTCCGTTACGATCGCTTGGATTCTACATGGAAACCATTACGTTTTGATAGAATTTCTTACATAACGTGATATAGCTTGACCTATTCATTTCACATATTTTTTGTCACCACAGCGATAAAAAATTCTTTCAGATAGTTGAATATTTTATTTGAGTTACTGATGAAGGCTTGCGGTTTTCCAAAGGAAAAAGTCTGGAGGTGAAGGTTCGATGATACATGGAGATGCATAAACGCTTTCTAACAAATGGAATTTTTGCTTGATAATAATAATATATCTAGTATGTAGTCTTGATCTTTTTCATGATGCTTTAACTGAGTACCGCATAGAAACCAAATTACAGTATGTTACTAGTCATTTCTTTTATTTGAAATTATTTAGACCTAAAGATTTAGATGAACTATTCTGCTTATGTTTCATTAATATTATATTACTTTAAATCCCAAATGTATGTTAAATAGTTTAAAATTGTAGGGTAAATGGCAAAAACTATGTAGGGTATTTCATTCATGACATTCGCCGACAGATATTTGCTGGCTTGCAAAATGAAAATTGGCAAATGTGTTGCACATTTAAGTGACGTCGCACGACAAGTAAACCGACTGCAAGTAGCAACAGGAAAACGCAAGTTGACATTCTGTTTGACATTTGTAATCTTTCGATCGTTAATTATTTTCGAATTGTGAGAGAGCACCACACAGAAGCGGTTTTTGGAGTGAACGCAACGAAAACATACACGATTGTGACACTTTTCGCCATTCACTAGAGTCTGGTAATGGAGTACTTGAATCGCGTCTGTGCAAGTGGTTCAAATGTACATGGGTGTGYAAATATATGTATATACATTTTTAGAGATGTCATACATTCATTGCTTACAGCGTTGGGCATAATATCATGGTTTTTGTAAAAAGACTATTTTTATTTTGTGGATATTTTTTTCTGAAGTTCGTTGATAGACAATTTTATGTTTGTTATATTTTTGATAATATTACCGTATACGCTACTGGAATTCGATAGGTGTGAGCCGAAAATGCAAACATTTTGGTATAATATGTATGTTTACTATATATATGTGGGATATATGTTTTCTATGTAAATGAGCAAACAAAAACAAAATAAGACTTTGTTCATAATTTTAGAATTCTTAATTTATTCATCAAATTCTATGTCGTCCCTCTCAAAGCCCCAATATGCTTTCGCCAACGCTTTTTCCAATCCTCAAAACAGTTGTTAAGTCAATTTCGGTAATAGCATTCAATGGGCTTAGCAATTCAAGTTTAATGTCTTCATTTGACTCAAAACGGTTTCCCCGGAGCAGTCGTTTAAGTTTCCTGAATATCTAGAAGTCAACCGGAGCTAAATCAGGCGAATACAGTGATTGCAGCACGATATTGGTTGAAAATTTGGCGAAAAACTCATGAAGAATCAATGAAGTATGCGACGGTGCATTAACGTGATGCAAAAACCATGAACTTTCGGCCCATAAATACGGCCTCTTTTTGCGAAAAACTTCCTACAAACGATGCAGAACGCTCAAATAGCGTTCTTTGTTAACATTTTAGCCGGTCGGAAGGAAATCAGATAGCATTACATCGGTAATCAAAGAAACTGTCAACATAACCTTGGTTTTGTCCTGCTTTGTCCTGGTTTCTTCGGCTTCCGCTCATCTTAGCCACAATATTCGGTCGATTTATCGTCTGTTTCCGGGTCGTAAGCATAAATCTAAGACTCATCGCTAGTAGTAATACATTTCATTACATTTCTTAAGCCCAAAAGATCTTCACAAAATCGGTTTCATCATCATCATCATCGTTTAAGATCTCCGGCTGTTAATCGTCGATCCTCAAGCAACAATTCTTTTATTTTATTGACGCGTGGATCGTCAATTTGTATCAATCAAAAACACTTTCTCGCGACAAACAATTATCACCGAAGGCCTTTTAAAACATTCTGAATGTTACGATACCAGATTCCGTACAAAAAATTTAACAGATGTCCAGACTAAAAAAAAGTTTTGACAAATCGGTTTTCGCGCGAAAATTAAATTGAAAAATCGTATTATTTTTGCCCACAGTAGTACATATTTGTTTTTTCACCAAAAATTGATTCGCGTCTGTAGCAATGCCAATACAATACTTACTTATTCTTTCCATTTTCAAGGCAAGTGAAACATGCTGGGCACGCACGCTTTACAATAGCAACAATTTGTAAAATTTGTTAAGAACATTCTTGCGAATATTTCGATTCGTTTCAGTGCGTGTTTGATTCTTATGTAAAATGTCAATAAATTAGCCCTTATTTGATTCCGCCACTCGAATGCCTTTTGTGGATCGTTGAATAAGGCTGTATACATACTTGTATATAAAATATAGGTGTTCATGCATGTGCAGATTTGCAACAATAATACTGCGCCTAAATGGTAGCCGCATATGTTACATATTTACGAAGGTAGATCCGAATTTTGTAGTCGCGTAAATTTAAAAAATATTATAAATGGGTTTACCAACGACGATCACTTCTCGGCATGCAAAGAAATTTTATGGATAATGGATTTTAAATTTTTATTTCAGCTATATGCACTATATCTCTTTACAAAGTAGATTAAAATTTCTGCCCCGAAAAAATATTTTTCAAGTTTTGAAGCAAAAAAAAAAAAATAATAATCACACGGGTTTAAGTCTGAAGAATATGATAGATGGACAGCAGTACAATAGCATCAAACACTGTTATGAAGTAGTGAGCCAATGAGGCAGTTATACCCGAGACAGCTTTTTCATAATAAACATTTCATTGAGAATATAACCAGCAGCTCTTTTGACATTACTACTACCTTAGTATCATGCCCAAAAGAAGATTGCGGGCACTTTTGTCACGTTATTATCCGTGATAACCGTTTTTGGAGCATTTGATAGTGCTTTATCAAAAACCGACCGAACTTGCGAACAACTAATTTCTCAGGTAGAAAGAAAAGTCACCGTGTACAGCATCAAAGCGTTCTTTCATTTCACTACCCAATTTGCTTCAAAAAACAAGAGGCGAATCAACGACCGATATTGCTTTTTTTAAATTTTTCTAAAATCCACGAACATGACCGCTTCTCGACCGTTTTGACTATAAGATAATGGCGTCCACATACGGTGAATACAAAATACTTTCTGGATTACCTTCGAATATAATCTCTGCCATCATATAGCAAAATGTCCACGAGAATGCAACAACAAAGTTATTGAAGTCAATTCCGCAAAATAGAGCAAAGCCTTTGCAGCTACGTCCCTAATTGATTAAGCCAGTCAATTCAAATTCCACCATTTGATTCTTACATGATACTCTTCAAGGCTTTGTGAATCAAATACTGTTTATACTCGAGTATTTTTTTTAAGTGATAAATTAGAAAAAAGTAACGACGAACTCTATAATGTTTTTATGAAATTGATGAGCGTAACGAACTGCTTCGACTTGGCCATTTTCTCCTGTCTTTCCGT